AAATCCGGCACAAAACTCCGACATAACACCCCACCAATCCCATCGGCCACCGCTAACGAAATGGTAACCACTCAAATTTGCCGACATCGAATTTCCGACGGAATTCCGACGGAATAAGTTTCGTCGGTATGAGCTGACCAATCAAACTTTGCCGACATCGGAAAAATCGGATTTCCGTCGGAAAGTCGTCAGAATATTACGACAGTTTATCTCCGTCGAAAATCCGTCGGTACAAGACGACGGATTTCCGACGGAATACCGACGGATTAATTTTGGTCGCAATTGCGTCGGTAAACCGACAGAAATCTCGGCTACGGAATTTCCGTCGGAAAAGTGGCTGTTTTCTTGTAGTGTGATGATGGTTGATGGAAATTTTATGCTTGCATTTAAAACGTCTATGCACAGAATTAGCAGTACATGGGATTCATGAAACAAGACGATGATGATTGTCGTATCATGAAGACTTATCAAAGATCATTCATTATAAGAATCTATGTTTTTCACTTTCGGGGTTAAAAATGCAAAAGCCAGAAAAAAATAAAAAAGTAAAGCCTACCGATGTGATTAGACAAAATCAAAATTTATTCCCTCTATTATATAGCTGACGACTGTTCTATTTAAGCATCTTTTTCATGATTGAGATTTTAGAATCACCAACTTTTTCTTAACTTTGCCTCAAGTAAATATTTATTTTGATGTGATTGAAATGTATATATTTCCGGATGCTAATTTGTATGATCTGAATTGGAAAAAAGTATTTTCATATTAACATGAAAAACAATTTTGAACGCCACAACTCTTTCATATGCTGTGTCATAATTATTTCACCATTTCTTAAAAAATTAGTATACATTTCTTTTCTTTTTTTCTTTTAAATATCAGTATACATTTCTCCATAACCCTATTAGTGTAGCAGGCTTTAATCCCAATAAAGGCGTTTCGGTGTATCCGATTTGGCTTTTATGTATGCATTTGCTTCCTCTGCAGATCATGAAGTTTCTTTCGTTTTGAGCCTCTATCCGAATGGATATTCGATAGGAAAACCCTCTGAGGTTTTGTAGTAAGCTTCATATACTAAAAGTCTATATGAATATATTTACCTTTTTTTTTTATAATTTCTTCTGTTTCTCTTTGTATAGGCATCACATCTATCAACTGTTGATTTTTCAGAACTAGGCTGTGCAACAGACATCATTTACGAGATGTTCCAAAGGTCGTGCATCTGTATGATAAGGCAGGAGAAAATCTACTACTGATATAATATTTCGCATAGGACTGTGTCAGTTTTTAATATTTTTGGTCACAAAGACTGTGATATATAGTTTACCTGATTCAAACATGTAGCGAAAGTTTTTGTGAATGGAGTAAGAAGAGGCTAAGCAAGAGGATGATGATGAGTCTGCCCCTCTGGCTGATTTTGGACTTCCTGCTCCTGAATATGGAATGGTTGGTGGAGACCAATGGACCACCGCGCAGTGCCTGATGATGCATGGCCAGGAGAAGCATGTTGTTGCTTCTTGGAGTGATTCCGCCGGTGAATTTTTTAGACATATAACCTGAAATCATATTATTGCTCTAGATCATTGAATTTGGGATCTTATTTTAATGGCTTTTTCCAGTTGCTCCAGCTGATGGTGGATGGGACGCTCAATGGTTATAGACAAGTTTTTTTATTACTCTTGGGATTGAAGAGTTATCGAACCGAACTGCTTTTACTTCTTTCTCTTCTTAAGACACTTTAGTTTACTCTATTTTGCCACCTTTTTAATTTGAATGGAATTTCTACTATATTATGATATTATCTCTTTGCTCTTTATCACATATATTAATCAATTTTTTTTGGTTCTTTACATCAATTCTCTACATTTTGATCAATTAGAACTTGCAAGATGCAAAATATGCAAAACAAATATCTCATCCATTTCAAAATATAAGTTGTTTTAAAAGTATTTTTATTTCAAAATATTAATTGTTTTGACAATCCTATATATTTTTAATTTTGTGGAATACTCGGTGACCACTGAAAGTTTGCAGTTTCTTTTATGATTGATTAAATTATTTTTATTATATCTATTAAATGCTATTTTTTAGAAAAAAATAGTTTTTTAATATTTGCGTTTTAATTAAAACAAATTACATTTTAAAACAGAGAAAGTAGAAAAGAACAAAACAACATCCGAAGAGTCTATCGTTAGAGAACAACATTTCAAGACAATTGCTACACAAAAGCAGATGAATACTTTTGTAAAAAAAGTTCGAGCACAAGATTATGTATTTTCCCATGTAAGTTAGACATTTCTGTTTGGAGTTGTCCGTCAGGGAAACCATCTAACGGGTAGCACTTGGTTTAATATATTGCGATTGTTGAAAAAAAATGAAGATAAAACAACTTATATTTTGAAACGGAAGAACTAGAAAACGCCACAACAAACAACATTTCAAGACATTTACTACACACAAGCAGAAGAACTCATGTCATTTACACAATAAAAACACTAAAAAGTCGTATCATTTGTCAGGACTCATCATTACAATAAGAACCGTTCAGGACGAAAGAGCCATTTCACTGCCTTCATATAAGAGACTGCTAAGCGAGGACGAGGGATCACAATTTGTCTCCATAAACGGCATTTGGAAGAAACACTCTGTCTGGTTCTCGAAAGCTAGAAGGTCTTCAGAAAGCAGATCATTCACATTGGCTTCACCATCATTAGTTTCTTGTTTCTTGTTCTTCTCCGAATCGCCAAAGATGACATCTTCGAGCCATTGTGTATCGATTTGAAGCGTATCCATATCGTTTTCCTCCCAAAGGAAGTCAAGACAAGTATTATTACTAGGCACTGAGCTAGCCACTTCGAATCCAATA